TGTGTGATCCTTATGTTGTTTGTTGGAAGATCTCTTTTACCAGTGAAATATATATGTTGCAATTTGAATTTGGGTCGCTTAAGAGAGTGGGCTTGACCGTTACGAGGGTGAATGCGAGATTTGCAGAAGATTTGAAGTACTAGATTGTCTGTGTTGCACGAGCTTATGGAGGATTGAGTTTAATCTCACTATGGTATTACGACAGTAATAGAGTATATGCATTATGAGTTATTGTGTGTTTTGATCTATGGCTTTGAGCCAAGTGGGGGAGTCTGCTGTTGATTAGTTGATTGCACGGTTATGTGCTATGTTGGTTCCAGTGTGAGGCGTACTGGTGAATCAGCTATGGATTACGGAGGTTGAGACCGAGGATGGCTCGAGTAAAGGAAATTTCAATAAAGGTTATGTTATGCTTATGAGTGTATGAGAATCACGGAATGACTTGAGTTGTTATTGGTAAAGGATGTACGGTGCATAGAACAGGAAGTTGTTCGGTTGCATTAAGGTGGGGTTACTTTCATAGGTGTTGCTGTTCTAATGGGGCACAAGTTGTTTGGTTCATTTGATCAGTCTAATTGAGGTTTGAACAGAGTGGATGACTTCCGAGAATGGTTTTGAAGGATTCAAGATTTACATGTAGTAATTGGGAATCTTCGGGATGTGTATTTGGCTAGAAATTGAGGTTTACATTGGAGGGTGTCTAGACTTGTGGCATTTCTATGTCATTATGGATTCTACATATCAGTATCAGGAAGGTGAATGTAATGGCTCTAGATTCGCAGGAAGTCTCTTCAGGGTAAGTATTTCGAATGTGGTACTTTTGGGGATATTTAAGAGAGTAGTCAGCGGCTTATGAACCGTAGGACGGTGTGGATTTATGCTTGGGTCTCGTGTGGCGAGTCTGGGTCGAGGATTGTGGTGTTATAGCGAGAAGAAGTATCAAGTTGAAGATAAATCAGAAGGAACTTGGATAGATGGGATAGCTTGGTAGTAGGACGGATCGGCATGGTAAGGATATGATTAGTTCTTTGGGTGCTTACAAGGTAATGGGTTTCTACAGGGGTATCGCGGCAATGCTCTTGGGTTTTTAGTGGCCTGCGTAGCTTGGTTGAGTTAGAAGGATTCAGTCCTAATGGTTCAGTTTTGTGCAAATGGAATTTGGAGAGTTCTTGATGGTTTCTACCACGGGTAGAGATGTATATTTTCTACGAGCGTGAGGAGCATGGGATGTATAGTGATTTTCTTCTAGATGGGATCAATGGGAAGTTCTCGGCTAGTTGAGTACGTAGTTGCTTGTGGCTCGAAATGGATATGAAGTTCTCATGTTTATCCTAGGATGGTATGGTATGTGCGGTATGTTGGGTAGGATTGAGATTTGCATGTGTAAGGTCACGGTTCAGTTTTTAAAAGAAGGCCATAAATTCTTAGGCAGCATGGACAGTTTCAGATGACTAGATAAATGAGATCACTGATTGGTGTGGCTTGATGGGGGTATACATTTCAGAAGGAGCGATGTAAGTGAGTTATTGATACTTCATTAGTATTGCGGCACTCTCTTGTTTGATTGACTGCTGATGTTCGAGGTTGCTTGGCGGGACAGAAGAATTATAGGAGTACCCCTCGTGGGATGATTGGGTATTAGAGGTGTGTTATATATTCAGACGGTGGAGTTGGGATCGGATATGGTGATTCGTGTGCAATATGGACTTGGAGACTGGAAGTTCTCATAAACAGGTTATGTTGTGGTTGTGGGTCGCGTGTATCGGCCTTGTGTGGTGACTATCGGGGTTTGGAGACCCGAATGGATCCTTTGTCGCTTAGTATGTTAGATTTTGATGTGATGTTGGGTATGGACTGGTTGTCTCCGTGTCGTGTTGTTCTGAACTATCGCGCTAAGACGGCGACGTTAGCTATGCCAGGGATGCCACCGATTTGAGTGGCGAAGTTTGACGGATTGTGTTCCCAGTAGGGTGATTTCATTTTTTTTAAAGACCCAGCGGATGGTTGGGAAGGGTTGTCTTTCTTATTTGGCCTTCGTGAGGGATGTCTGTGCAGAGGCTCCTACCATTGATTCAGTTCCGGTGGTGAGGGACTTTCTGGATATGTTTCCTGCTGCCGGGCATGTCGTCGGATAGGGTTGTTGATTTCGGTATTGATTTGGTGCCGAGCACCGTATCGTATGGCACCAGCGGAGTTAAAGGAGTTGAAGGAGCAGCTTCGGGACCTCCTTGATAAGGGGTTCATTGGTAGGCCTGTTGATACCCAATTTTTCCCTGCATATTTTCACATATACAAAATACTTTCAAAAAAACATACATATATATATATATATATATATATATATATATATATATATATATATATATATATAA